ATGCGTTTGTTTAGGACGGCTAGTGTGCTCGACGGAGCCAATCACCGAGCGTTCGTGTTTTTATAGTCGCGGACGGACTTGGGGAAATATTTTTCTTTGAGAGTTCAGGCGACGTCTCGCCAGTTCTTTCCGAAAATATTTTGATATGCAAGTTTTTAGTAGCGGAGATATTTTAACTCTGTCTTTATTAAAAATTTCGAAAAATTTTCGAATACAAAGCTAAAAGAACTTTTGTAAAAAAATTTGGGAGTATACGAATACTCGTATACTCACCCACTCCCCCCCCCCCCCCCCCCCCCCCCCCGTTTTGGAAAGGGGGATAGCTGAACTCGTCTTTAGGCGAGCTGCCTACGTATTCCTTTTGGAAATCAAGCCATCTCGTAGTTCTGATTGTTTGCGCAAGTGTGCTTACTCAGCTGTCGCAGACTTCTAGATCGCTTCAGTTGCAGGATCGATGTCTTTATCCGGAATTGTCTCCTCTATCGTGACCTTTGCCCGTTTTGGCTTCATGATTGCTACTGCCAATTTCCTCAGCTTATGTTCGGCCAGGAAGCAGGATCGCGATTGTCTTTGGCATCCCCAAATTACTGCGACTCCCGTAGGCGTTGGGAATTCGATGCCTAAATGATAAGTTGACAGAACCGCCTTCATGGAATTTATCCAGGGCGTTCTCATAATCACGTTGTAGATAGCCGGGAAATCGACTACCGCGAAGTTAACGATCTTTGTTACTTCTTTTGCGGCGACTGGTAATCGGATTGATCCCAGGGTCATCGACGTCTCGCCGGAGAAACTAGTCAGCGATTTTGGAATCGGCTCGACTTCCGGTATCGATGTCCCAGCTTCTGCCCTATGCCTCCTCTTTATATACTCCCCCTTAGGCGGTTCTGACCTTTCCATTTTGCCCGAAACCGAATATATCGGGAACTTTCCATATCTGTCGATCCTTCCTTTTCTTCCGCAGAAATCATCTATTTACCTTCAACCTTGCCTTTTATCTTCCGTCTGCGAGTAAATCGTCAAAACTTTATCGTATCTTCGGGTTTGATTTCATTAATGTCACGAGATGGGTTTTTATCGTGTTTTAGGACCTTCCAGGCCGTTTTACGATAAAAACCGTTTTACGACTTTATACAAGACCGTTTCCTGATCCGATGCCGTTTTTAACGATTTTCTTGACCGTTTTTATTAAAAACGCGTTTTTATTAAAAACGCGTTTTTATAATCTTAACGAAAAATCTCAGATAAATCGTATAGTTTAGGCGATGTTCGGTGTTTTACTCGAGCGTTACCGTTTTATACGATTTCTTCGAGTTCTTTTCGGAAAACGGAGTTTTACGGTTTTTATCGTAGAATTCAAACGATAAGTCGGATCGAGACGAAACGAGAGACATAAGGTTCAGAATGTGACCGTGTCGAAGGACGTAAGGTTCGAATTGGGGCCACGGGAGATCCGGGAGGTCTCTAGTTCGCCTGCTGGCGAACTAAGCCGGGCTGGCTTAGTTCGCCAGCAGGCGAACTAGCCGTGGAGTCCCTAGTTCGCCTGCTGGCAAACTAAGCCAAGCTGGCTTAGTTTGCCAGCAGGCAAACTAGTCCGGGACCGTCTAGTTCGCCAGCAGGAGAACTAGTTGGTGAGCCTCTAGTTCGCCTGCTGGCGAACTAAGCCGGCCTGGCTTAGTTCGCCAGCAGGCGAACTAGTTGCAACTAGTTCGCGCTTCGTGGCTGTTTCGGTATTTCGCGGTTTTGTAAAACAATTTCTCGAGTTTTATAAAACGATCTTCGAGTTTTATAAAACGGTTTCTCGAGTTTTATAAAAGGATCTTTGGGTTTTATAAAACGTCTTCCCGAGTTTTATAAAACGATCCTTGAGTTTTATAAAACGGCTTCTCGAGTTTTATAAAACGATCTTCGAGCTTTATAAAACGGATTCTCGAGTTTTATAAAACGATCTTCGATTTTTATAAAACGGCTTCTCGAGTTTTATAAAACGATCTTTGAGTTTTATAAAACGGCTTCTCGAGTTTTATAAAACGATCTTTGGGTTTTATAAAATGGCTTCCCGAGTTTTATAAAACGATCCTTGAGTTTTATAAAACGGCTTCTCGAGTTTTATAAAACGATCTTCGATTTTTATAAAACGGTTTCTCGAGTTTTATAAAACGATCTTCGAGTTTTATAAAACGGCTTCACGAGTTTTATAAATCGATCTTTGAGTTTTATAAAACGATCTGCGAGTTTCATAAAACGTCTTCTTGTTTTATAAAACGACTTCTTGTTTTATAAAATGACTTCTTGGGTTTTATAAAACTATTCCTTTTATGTTTTTGCGGGGAATTTTGGCTATTGATTCCGTCATACCGATTTTGACCCCAACAGCGATGTCATCTCGATCAAGGAAAGAGCAACGATCGATTCGATCAAACCTCTAAACGATCTTCTTGTCATCGGCCCGACGATCCAGAAAATGGATGTCGCAAGGGTATTAGTCGATACCAGAAGCTCGGCTGATATCATCTTCAAAAACATTCTCGAGAGAATGGAAATCGATCTGTCTGAAATCGCGTAAAACGCAAGCCCGCTAGTAGGACTCTAATGAGAAATCACCATGAACCTCGGCACGATCAAACTCACGGTTCTAGCCAAAATCGTAGTAAAAAACTTTGAATTCCTAGTCGTCAGCTTAGTTCGCCAATGGGCGAACTAGTTAAGCATTTCCTAGTTCGCCAATTGGCGAACTAAGCTGGGCCAGCTTAGTTCGCCAATTGGCGAACTAGTCGAGTCCCTCTTAGTTCGCCAATTGGCGAACTAGTCGAGTGCCTCTTAGTTCGCCCATTGGCGAACTAAGTCGGTTCGGCTTAGTTCACCCATGGGCGAACTAGTCATGACTAGTTCGCATTTTGAGGCTTTTTCGGTTTTTTGCGGTTTCGTAAAACGATCTTCGGGTTTTATAAAACGGTCTTCGGGTTTTATAAAACGGCTCCTCGAGTTTTATAAAACGATTCTCGAGTTTTATAAAACGATTCTCGAGTTTTATAAAACGATTCTCGAGTTTTATAAAACGATTCTCGAGTTTAATAAAACGACTTCTCGAGTTTTATAAAACGATCTTTGAGTTTTATAAAACGATCTTTGAGTTTTATAGACTTCTCGAGTTTTATAAAACGACTTCTCGAGTTTTATAAAACGATTCTCGAGTTTTATAAAACGATTTCTCGAGTTTTATAAAACGATCTTCGAATTTTATAAAACGATTCTCGAGTTTTATAAAACGATTTCTCGGGTTTTATAAAACGTTCTTCGGGTTTTATAAAACGGCTTCTCGAGTTTTATAAAACGGTCTGCGAGTTTTATAAATGACTTTGAGTTTTATAAAACGACTCTTCGGGTTTTATAAAACATTTCCTTTTGTATTTTTGCGGGGAGTTTTGGCTATTAATTCCGTCGTACCGATTTTGACCCCAACACTCCGCGAGAGTTTTAGTGGTTAGCAGCATTGCGTGTTGTAAAGTATCTAAAAGGAACAGCTGGACAGGGGGTTTTGTTTAGTTTTCAAGGAGATATGACTTTGTCAGTATTTTTCGATGCAGATTGGTCTGCGTGTCCTACCACAAGGAGATCGTTGTACTAAGAAGCAAGGAGTGGTGTCGCATTTGTCAGCTGAGTCTGAATATAGGTCAATGGCATTGGCGACAAGGGAAATAAAGTGGTTAAGAAGATTGTTGTTTGACTTGGGAGCTAAGCAAACAAGACCTGTGAAGTTGTATTGTGACAGTAAGTCAGCGATATAAATAGCTGCAAATCCAGTGTTTCACGAACGGACAAAGCATATAGAGTCGGACTGTCATCAAGTGAGGGATGCTATTGAAGAAGGATTGGTAGAAACGATTCATGTTCGGACAAATGAGCAAATGGCTGATGTTTTAACAAAGGCGCTAGGAAGAGTGCTGTTTCAAAATCTATTGTTCAAGTTGGGAGTAAGAAACTTTCATATTCCCAACTTGAGGGGGAGTATTGGAGATAAGGATGATGGTAATTAGAAAGAGATATTAAACATAAGATAAAGATGTATTTAGTAGTAGTAGTTATCCTAACCAAGTCGGTTAAGGCTCTTGTATAAAATACTTGTGTATCGTGATCAATAAAGTCAAGCAATTCTATAAACTTACACTAGGTGCAACAAATGACACATGCACAATTAAAGGTCTTATCGCAGCTCCTGGTAATTTAAAAAAAAAAATTGTTTTAATCCCTGGTTCGAAACAGTTTTAAGGAAGACCCTAAAAGAAAAAAAATAAACGACAAATACCATAATAGTGTTGTTCAGCAAATCCAAAAAAGTTTTAACCATGACACAAACATATAGATTTGAGAATAATTAATGAAATTGTATGTTTGTAAATGTTACTCTTGGTAAATATTTTATTCAATAAAAAAAGTTAGTGACAAAAAGATGTCTGTTTATTATTTTTTCGTAAAAACTATATTATTGGACTTATAACCGTGTATAATAAAGACATAACATTCTGGAAATATATACATCTTTTTAACAGGCAGAGTATACAAATGTGAAGAAATTCGTGATGGCTTTCTTCTTTTCGGTTACAACACCATTTGGGATCGGTATTCGCATAGCCTTGTCGAGCGTTTACATGATCAATAGTCCAACCGCATTAATCACTGGCGGGCTACTCAATGGATGCTATGCGGGACTGCTCATTTACATGGCGCTCGTAGACCTTCTAGCCGCAGAGTTTATGGGATTAATGCTCCAAGGAAGTGTCAAGCTTCAGCTTATTTGTTTTGGCTCTGCGTTGCTCGGTTGTTGTGGGATGTCAGTCCTCGCCAAGTGGGCTTAACCCATTAGTGGGAAAGGGTTCAGATCTTTTCACTTTTATTATGATATTTCTCTAATTTCTCACTTTTATAATTTTTTCTACATATTATAGTTTCATTCTTTCTGAGAATTCATGTTTGAATAAAAATTAAAGTAAGAGAATTTTTTTTCATGAACAGCAAAGACCAAACACGTAATCAAACTTCCACCCTAAACTAGGAGGAAAGCAAGAACGCAGAACAAAGGGTAGCTTTTTCTAATGTATCTGCAGAAGCAAAGGAACAAGATAGAGAATTCATATGACCCTTCTCTATTGTCATTGACCAAGTGAAGGTATATCTTAATAATTTCTTTTTCTTTTTCGTCAAATATTATATAAATTTGATTCGTAAATAATTGCAAAATTAGATGGTAGCTTTAAATAGGGGAGATAAAAAAGAATTGTAAAAATTTATTGACCATTTTATTTCACATTCACTCGGAGGAGGTATGACTCAAATGGACAATGTCACGAATTATGGGAGAATGGAAACGCTTTTTTATCTTCTTTTTTTTTCCGCCAAGTTTTTTTCTATATTGATGAAATGGGCTAAGCCCAGAAAAACGGCCGAAGCCCACATACACTAAAGACCAATAAAAACCCCCAAAAGCCTACGGGCTAAAACAGAAGCGGCAAAAGCCCAACTATAGTAAAAAGACCATCGGCCCAAACATTTGAAACTTGACGCTTTGACCGAGAAACGCCTCAAGGATGCTGGACTTGTGGGAGAACCTGCACCGTCAAGACGACACGCGACACTACGGCTTCGACTTGATCGTCACCGCCTCGGAAAGCCGCCGGAGCACCACAACCGCCTCGACATGATCTTCACCATTCTATCTTCATGTCAGAGAGCTTCATCGAACTATCGAGATCTCATCCGACAAGGCAAAGCCTCCAACACTTGAAGACAACCAAGAAACGCTCCCGTTCCATACACAGAACCCAAATCCTAACCACGAGAGTGTAATGAAATACCTAAAGCTTAAAGCCGGCGACGTAAAACTGTAAAAGCCTTCACCCCTCAGAGACTAGAGCTGCCTACGAAGAAACTGAAGAAGCTTCTACCTCTCGGAAACAATGACCAGCGGCAACGGAGCTGTAGGAGCCTCCACCTCCCAGAAACGGAACTTAACTGAGGAAACGCCTTCACCACACCATCACCTCAACACGACCGCGTCTTAACTTCAGGAACAGTACCACCACGGATGAAGACTGGCCAGAACTCGGACAAGAAGGAAGGCAGAGGAAACAGAGGAGAGGCGATGGAATGGATTGGCGATTTTAGCTGAAGAATAAGGCACTCCGGCGACGGCACGCACGCACATGCACCTGATGTTCACCGTACCCAAAGTGAGCTACTTTCTCTCTCTCTCTCTCTAGCTACCGAGGAAAGACGTTAATGAATGCTTTTTTTTTTATCTTTCTTGTGTTTTATTTTTCATTATTTTATTTTTACAGTTTTGAGCTTTGGTTTTGGTTTTAGATTGAGTATCTTATTTGATGGTAGAAACATGTCTATTTATTTAGTTATTCTTTGATATCTGATAATTTATAAATATCTATATTTTTAATAAATAGATTTGATAACGTGATTCTTAAAATTTATATATATATGAAAGCAAACAAAATAATAATACTTTTGGGTATAAAACCATAAAAACCAAAAAATCGATTGTATAAAATCAAAACCAAACCAAATTAGATATTGTTTCAATATAGTAGCTAATTTTATATACAAAGAACAACTGAAACGGGACGGAAATCCTGATTGTATATACCTATTCTAAACAGAGGGCTAAAATATAATTTAATGAAGTATATATAAAATGTGCAGTTTTAATATCAACCCTCAACTATTGCAACATTAGTATATTCGATGTTATGAAGAATGTCATTTTTCATATATCATACAAATTAACAGGATTATTAGTTATACAAATATGCTCTTATTTGATATGTTGTGTAAAATATCGAAATATGAACAGTAGGTACTAGTTTTCACAATATTTGAAGATTAATACTTTAATGACACATTTTTATGTTAAATCATTCCTATTCGTATAAGGGCATATACAAAATACATCAATAGTGTTAACACTTAACTATATTTCCCAGAACATTATCAAGCAACCCAGTAATATTGTGTCCATAAACTAATTTCACACATATATAGTGAGATTTTATATGTATTTAATACTATGGTGAATTAGTGCTCAATTATTGTTGGCAAAATAAGTTGCCCAGTAAAAAAAAAAGTCAGACCCCTTTGCAGAAAGAGCCCATTGGAAACTACAAAGGCACACAATGTTAAGGATACACAAGATCACAGCCTTTTCATCAGAATATTCTAGTTATCAATGCATATAATATATAACTTGCAGAATAAGAAAGGTTGTATTTATTCCTAGACCTAAAAGACTCGTCTCTCTGTTTATGTTGACGGCTACAATGCCTGTAATAAACATCATCTTCTACAAACCATTACATGTTATCAGAGCAGGAAACCTAATCCTCTGTCGTTTTATATTTTTCGGTTCTCTCATCCTTTCTTTTCTCCTGTCTCACCTCTATTCTCCCTCTTACTTAAACATGTTGACCTCTTCAACCGAAACAGTTAATCTCATACCCAACGCTCTTTTGAATGTTAACATGTCTAATGTCAAAACTAACACCCACAAACTACATGATGTGGAGTCTCCAAGTTCATTCCCTTCTTGAAGGCTACGACCTTGCAGGTCATCTTGACGGCGCTTCACAACCACCTTCTCCGACAATCGTGAACGGAGATACCATTACAACAAATCCAACACACATGCTGTGGCGTAGACAAGACAAGTTAATTTTCAGTGGCTTGATAGGCACCAAAGTCATCTCCATTCAGCTGGTTGTCTCCTTGGCCTAAACTGCAGCAGACACCTGGAATACTCTAGCATCGACGTACGCTAAGCCCAGCAGAGGACACATCCAAAAACTCAGACTGCAGATCCGGCAGTGGAGCAAAGGCTCTAAGACGATCGATGAGTACGTTCGATCTACTTGATTTACTTGGAAAGCCCATGGAGCATGAAGATTAAATTCGAACATCTCCTTGGTGGTCTTCCTGAAGACTACAAGCAAACTGTTGATCAGATCGAAGCTCGTGGCACAACACCCTCTGTTACAGAAGTTCATGAAAAATTGCTTAACAGAAGAGCAAAAATCCTTGCGACCTCAGCTACTGTCTCAGAGGTGTCTATAACACCAAATGCAGCCTACACGTAGCATCAACCGCGTCATCAAACAATCGCAGTGACAAAACCAACCCTGGAATCGCAATCAACAGCAACAGTCCAATCGATGCATCAACAACTCCAAAGACAACCGCTACAACAAGAGTTCTCAAAGCGGATATCAAGGTAAGTGCCAATTATGTGGGGTTCAAGGCTACAGTGAAAGGAGATGCCCTCAACTAAGCAATCAGACCTCAATGGACTAGGCTTCATCATCCGTCAGCTCATATCCACCATGGCAACCTCGTACTAACGTTGCGATGCTTCCCACAGCTTCAAACTCGTCTTGGATCATGGATAGTGGTGCAATGCATCACCTTACCAGTGATCTCGAAAACCTTGCCTTGCACCAGCTGTATAACGGTAATGCTAAAGTTCTCATCGGTGATGGTTCTGGTCTTCCCATTACTCATTCTGGTTCACTTTCTCTACCCTTCTCCACTCGTCCCTTAACTTTAACTGATGTTCTTTGTGTACCTCATATTCACAAGAATCTTATTTCAGTTCATAGCCTTTGTAATGCCAACAAAGTCTGAGTTAAATTTTTCCCTGCATTCTTTCCGGTAAAGGATCTATCATCGGGTGTCCCATTGCTCCGCGGCAAGACCAAGGGTGAACTCTGTGAGTGGCCAATCTGACTATCTACCATCCAATATTTCTTCACCAAAACCAAACCATCTATAACCTTACAAGACAGGCATTACCGCCTATGCCATCCCTCTTCTACCATTGCCAGTGCTGTTATTCCAAAGCTTTCTTCTCAAAATTTATTTTGTTCTGATTGTGCCATCAATAAAATTCATAAACTTCTTTTTTTCCCAAACCACCATCGTTTCTACTCTCCCCCTTGAATATGTTTTTAGCGATGTTTGGACCTCTCCAACCGTCTCTGTCGACAACTTCAAGTATTACATAATTTTTGTCACTCGATACACCCGTTATACCTGGATATACCCTCTCAAAATCAAATCTCAAACCCGTGAAACCTTTATAATCTTCAAAGGCCTTGTGAAAAAAAAATCCCAGCAACGTATTGGAACTGTATATTCCGATAACGGCGGAGAATACATTGGTCTACGCTCCTATCTCTCGACTTCCGGAATAACTCATCTAACCTCTTCATCACATACCCCTGAACACAATGGAGTGTCTGAAAGAAAGCACCACCACATAGTTGAAACCGGTCTCACACTCTCAACACATGCTAGTATACCTTCCACCTACTGGACTTATCCATTCGCTGCTGCTGTATATCTAATCAATTGCCTACCAACTCAAGTTCTCAACATGGAGTCACCTTTCAAGAAGCTCTTTAACACTGCTCCAAACTACATGAAGCTAAGATCTTTGGGTGCTTATGTTTCCCCTGGCTTCGTCCCTACACCAGCAACAAACTAGAGAATCGATCTACGCCTTGTGTGTTTATAGGTTACTCTCTCTCTCCCAATTTATGCATGCCCCCACAGTTCAACATTGGGAAGCATCAAAAATAATCTTGCGTTACTGATGTATAGCACTTTTACATATTTTTAGCTATTGTTTTTAATCATTTTAGTATCTATGAATTGCATTTAGGGGTTATTATGTGTTGCAATTTACATATTGCATAGACAGGAGGCTGGATAGCACAATTAGAAGTTCTGGGGCAAAATCAGGGACTTTTCTTCACCAAACAAAAGTTTCGGGGTCAAAATGCAAAAAGGCAAAAAT